GGGGGCAGAGGGGGGGGGGCAGGAGGTGCACCAGGAGCACACATCTCCTCCAGGGAACACACACATCTCCTCCAGGTCCCACAGCTCCTGCCCGGGTTTGTTCTCTGCAACCCCAGGAAAGTTTTGCCCACGGAGGGAGGTGCGAGCTTGCTTTTGGCTGGGTCGGGGTAATTCCAAGCCTGGTGAAATAATCTGTGTTCCTGCCCTCGAGTAAATCTCCCAAAAATGCCAAACCCAGTAAAGAGGAGGAGAGGATTTCAGTCTACAGGCATGTTTCTACACATAATAAAATCTAAACCTAAGCTCCATGCAGACTCTCAGCGTTCACCTCTCCTTCTCCAGGCTGTTTTCCTCTGTGATGGGGAGAGCAAACTTGTCCCCCCGTGCTCCTGTCCTCCCTGGGCCACCCTCAGCACCACGCAGGGAGAGGCACCACCTTGGTTCTGCCCTGGGACATCAAGCAGGGTGAGAAACCTCAGCACTCTGCTGGTCATCTTTGAGCAAGAGGGATGAGAGGATGCAGGTCAAAGAAGGACAGCAAGAGGCTGGAGAGGATTCTGTCGTGGCACCAAGGGATGAGGAAACACCAGAGCCCAGCAGGGACACCCCTCTCCCTCCCTATTCCAGGCACGGTGCCCTGATCTTGGGGTGCACCTGACACCACAAAAGCAGTGACAGTGAGGATTCTGTCGTGGCACCAAGGGATGAGGAAACACCAGAGCCCAGCAGGGACACCCCTCTCCCTCCCTATTCCAGGCACGGTGCCCTGATCTTGGGGTGCACTCAGCACCCACAGGTCCCCTGACACCACAAAAGCAGTGACAATGCTCGAGATGTTGTAAAATCAGTCCCAGATCCACTCTTTGGTTGGGCTCTCTCAAGAAGTGAGGAGGGGAGAGGATTGTTACGGATTAATCAAAGTGTGGTGGTTGAGGTTTGCCTACATTCACCCAACTGAGAGGAAGATAAAAATGTCAACAAGCCTGTTTTCCCCAAAGGGCTCGGGACAGGGTTTGGTCTCTTTCCATGTTTTAATTTTGTGGTGCCTCCTTGTGCTCAGTGGAGCCTGGTAGCTGGCTGGAGCCTCTAGGCTTTACTGCATTAAAAATAATAATATAGAGGTATCTATATTATTTGGTCTCTTTGATGGGCAGAGACTTTATAATCCTGGTTTCTAATACACTGTGCTATTGCTTCCACTTCTGCTCGACATTTCTGGCTTAATTTAGTTGTGCTTAAGTTGGCAGCTGCCCTCGAGCCTCTGTAGCTCAACATTCTTCCCAAACATATCCGAGACTGATTTAAATTTAAAGCACCAATAATAACAAGAAGAAAATCTAGTCCTTCGTTGGGTTTTGCAACAGCTTTCCTCTGGTGGAAAGGCTCTTCTGATAAAATTATAGGGCCTCCAAGGGTAATGTTCTAGCTCTAGTTACTGCCATCAGCGATGTCACATAATGCAGACAAGTGCTATGTGAATGGGCGATGAGTTCTGCCCACCCTATCAATGTCACTGTTTACCTTCATTATAAAATGTTTGTGTTCCGTGCACAGCTTTTGCTGGTGCCCTTCTCCATTAATTCTTGGTTATTATTCATCAGCAATCATCATTCATTGCTTCCCTCTTGGTCTTGGCAAGGAGATGCTTTTCTCCTCCCTTGTTTGCTCTCCTCTGTTGTGCTCCCTTCTTTCTCTCTCAGATATGCAGTGCTGGTGCCAGTGGGCAGGAAAATATTCACCCAGGGCATGCCAGGTCTATCAGTGTTGGCTTCACTTGACTTCCCACAGGGATCACCTGGTCCTCCTGGGCAATACACATTCCCCAGGCAATTCTATGATTCCTCCCAGGCAATTCTACAATTCTATCATTCTGTGATTCCATGATTCTCCCTGGGGTTTCAGTCTTGGGTTAGGAATAGCTGCGGTGAGAAAGTAAAGCCAGTTTCCACTCAGTGCTCCAGGTCATGGACATGGTCTTCTGCATCACTGCTGGTGGGGCGTGCAGAAGACACGTCCGCTCCAGGACACTGGCAGTGCTGCTCTCTTGAGGCTGTGCGTGCTGCTTCCCAGGATTTGTGTCAGAGCAAGGGGTGCCCAGGTTTTCAAAAATAACTTTTCCTCTCTGCCCAGCCAGGCTGCACGTAGCCCCGTGCCACAGCTGAGGCTCGATGAGAGCAGGAACCAGGCTTTGCCTCCATCATCAATAAATTCTGGAGCCCGGGAGTGCCAGACAGAAACATATTGTGAATCGTATGTATTATCACACGAATGATCGTATCTCACTGCTGTGCTGTCACCCTGAAACCTGCATTTCATTGTTTACCTTCCCCTCTCCTAACTGGATCTGAAAAGATGCTTATGGGAAGAGATCCTATTTCCTGAAGCTTTTGGCTTCTCTACAGAGGCAGACATAAAATTAATTTCTTTCTGCTGGCATAAGACTGTTAATACTTCTTATATCCAGATTTTTGATGTACTAAAATGCTCAAATATAGAAACTGCAATGAAAACTGAAGCCTATCGCTGGTTTATTGCATCACAAACTGCCCGTGTATGGCATAAATGTCATCAATGACTTATAAATACATTAGAGAGAGAAGACAGACATAGAAACAAACCTCAGTACCAGAAAGGAAAAGTCTTCATCCTACAGTCAGATCTGTACCGGCCTCAGATGATGTGGGGGGGGAGGTTGGCTTTTGGATCTTTTAAGTATATTTGAACAGAGGGCACAATATAAACTTCACCTCTGCCCTTGACTCAAGTGGCAAGTTGTGTGTGATGCCATCCGTAGCCTCCTGCACCATGGTGAGATTCATCCTCAGATTTTAAAATAAAGCAATTCTGAGTCCTCCTGTTAGCAAAGATAACCTTCACTATGCAAATCAACGCAGTGGTATTTTTGTTGAGTTTGCCAACAGACAAATAACGCTAATATATGTGTGAAGTTTCTCAATGTTAACTTTGAAATATAGCTGAGGCCATTTAAATGCCAACACTTTTAAGTCACTAGTCAAAATAAAACCACCCAGCTTGAGTTACAGAAATTTAATTATAAGGAACAGCTGGGCCTGGTTTTGATTTTGACTCGAAGGACCCAGGGAAAGAATCAAGCACATGGGCTCAGTAGGCACACATATGGCCAGAGTTTCTCGACCCGAGGGAATAAAGCCAGAACGTGTTATCTCCTTATTCCTCATACCGGCCAGGCACAGTTGCCAAAAAATGCACTGAGATACCCTCTGAAGAATATTCAATGATTCTTTAAGTAGGCGATGGAGGCCAAGCAGAAAGAAACTCCAGTCCTTCCTTCCACTGGCTGCCATTTCATCTCCAGACGTGGAGGCAGCAGCTGAGCTTGGTGACTCTTCCTCAATTCAGCTACCAGGGGCTTGCTCTTTAATGATGTTCCTGGAGGTGCTCCACAGGAAACCACTTCAGTCCTGCCCCATCTCCTCTCCTTCCACGCTGCCCCTTATTCTCCCACTTCCTTACAAAGCAGAAGAAACGACCGCTTGTATGAAAAGGGCTG